AGCAACAGAAAAGCTTTCCAACGCTCCATAGCATTTGACTACAAGTAAGCGAAAAATTAGAAAAGGGAGCCAATGAAAAAACTGCCACTGCTTTTCGAACAAACGCGCGAATTTCATGGTTTCCCAAAATAGTGAACTCGTAAAATAATTCAGAGCCAGAAAGCTTTGAGGAAGTCCAGACAGAGGATTGTCGAGGGAGAAACTTCCAAGTAATCTAATATATACTATCAATCGGCTCGATTCCGGTACTATCTTCCTCGTCCGACCCAATGGCATTCTCATTTACCTGATTTTAACATCGAGATTTCACAGGGGTAGTGAAGAGTAGACGAGATAGGCATCATTTGAACATTACAAGACAGAAACGTTACCCGCATCTGTGTATACCGCACACTTGCATCATGCGTTTATCTTCCCAGTTTATAGAACTGCCGTGTGCTTTGTGACTTACCGCCATGTAGCGACTACTGCTATCCTTTCCATGTGCAGTTCTACCCTGCTCTGGTATCAACAATTTCTACGTTGATTTCAATGAATCTCAGCTCTCCGACGTCAAATCATAGCATCGTTTCAATTTCTTAGTGAGCAAAGGGACATCAGCGGAAAGGTGCTGTAGACTACGCTATGCGCGCTTTGACAGAGCAACTTTAATTATATTTAACTAGTTCAGAATGAGTTCGTTGCAGCGAAAAATATGATCTCCATCCTGTAGACAGTCACCACAGTGGAGACTTTGAGGTTGAAGAAATGGGACTGAGGAAAGTTTAGTTTCCATAAATGCGTTCTCTTTCAAGACGATCCTTCGCTAAAAATTTCAAGGCATCTACGATCGAATTCAGCCAGTTCGCCTTATTAACATTAGAAATTCGGTATTTTTTACTCTTCGAGTGAATATTGGGCTGAAGTTAGTAAATATGGATCAAAATGAATCCGGCCAAGTCTATGCTCGAATGAATATATGTATTTTTCTCAGATCGTATCCCACAAATTCGACTCGAAACGATTAAATTTCTGTCGCAAGCCTTCGGTTACGTTAGTATCCGCATCGTAATTTTTCTAAATCCAAAATATTACTGCGCTACATATCTGTATGATAGAAAACAGGAAAAGATAAATAGTACTTCGCTGAGGTTTGTACATTCCAATGAGTTCACTGAGAAAACTAGGCGCAGCAATAATAGTAAAAAAAATACTTACTCAATAGACGTTTCGTTAGATACTATTAGGCTATTCGGAAAGGCCTGGCTTGTCTTCTAATCACCGCTGACAGTATGTGCGAAGATTAAACTGTAGGTAGTAGTTGCGTCTCGTAAACTATTAAAAAAAAACACACGGCAACTGACAACTTAAATACAAACCACTTAAATGTTTCACTGTAGTTATAAATATACTATAAAATATTAAATTCATGCGTTCAAGGGTACGTTGTATAGTACAGCGTTGTATAGTACAGCTGCTTCAAGCCCAACATATCGATTTCCTGCATCAAATGTTACTTTCACGAAGCGAGTTTTTTCAACTACCCAACTTCCCTGTAAGAGACATGCCCAGTTTGACGTCTCAAGGTAAGAGACATGCCCAGTTTGACGTCTCAAGGTAAGAGACATACCCAGTTTGACGTCTCAGGAAGTGACTTTTGAACTCTCTTGTTAATAATCCAGTTTGACGTCTCGAGAAGTGTATTTGTTAATAATCATGTAAAATCTGACGAATTTACGATAGTAAAAACAAAACATTAGTCAGCCACGTCAGAAATGTCAGTTTATTTGACAATTGGCACGTTGGACTTCTGAAAAATCTGTTCCAAAATGTGACTTTTCTCGTTTTCTTTTTTATGTAACTCCACTACTTTCTAATATATAGAAGTCGTGTTCACGTTATTGGTAGACACCGCGCATTTAGCAGTCACCAACTTTAACTAACCATAAATCTATATACACTTCGTAATGTATAATCAAAGGATAGAAACTGACAAGCATGCAAATTTTCCCGCCGTTAGAAGGACCGACTTATGCAAATATTCAGTTATATACACCCACCCACTCGACACACACACGCACAAACAGCCACATCATAATATCGTTGGGCACTCATTATGTAATAAACAAAAAAAAACTTGCCATTTAATTTAGTAACTTAATTGCCACTCGCCAATTCTTATAGAAACAAAGCTGCTTTTATAGCGCCATCCCTCTGCCAATTGCCGTTGCACGTGCAACCTCCATCAAGCACCCAGGTCTTCACGGTTCTGTAGAATCCTTTCGAAGTTCCGCTATTACAAAAACATCTACCACCGCATCTATCGTTCTTGACGGATTATGGCTAACAATTAGCGAAACCATGTTTCCTTCCACCACCACCACGATTACAGTTATATTAAAATGGTTATATTAGTAAAAAAGCGAAAGATAACAATTGTTTTCATATGATGTATATTTATATACGAAGATGTGTATGTATGTATCTATATATATATATATATC